AAAATATTAATCACTGTATCAGGAGTATTGGATCTATGAAGTGCTATTAAGTAGTCTCTCCCCTTGACTATCAATGTTTTCTAATATGAATACATATTTCTGTAATATGAAGCTTAAAACCAACATGTTAACTCAAACTACAATACATTCCTTTAGTCTGCCTTAGTGTTTCAGGCTGTTCTCTCCTCCTGATTTAGATAGAATTTTACTCTTATGTCTATTACCTGACTTATCACATGATAAATCAGTGGTTCATCCATCTATCTCCCATGCTTGCTTGTGAGCTCCTTTAGAATAATGTTTGATTACATTTTCAGTATCTTGAACAGTGTGTGACATACAGAGATTCATACATACTGAAGTAAATGATCTCACTCCTTTGTAATCATTGCCAGAATTCAGTAGCATGTGTTACTAAATCTTTACAGACATTGCTAACTGTTAAATCTGAGAATGTTAAGTTCTCCCTATAAAACTTGTACTCATTACTGAGTAGCTAAGGTCACAGTTAACTCAGATGGGACATGGTCTCTGGCCATGCCCATTTGTGGGCTTTCGACTTTTGACTGTTTGCATTTTAAATGTATTTGTTTTGGTTTTTTAACCTAGAGGGAATAGTTAGTAAACTTCATCACATTTTCCTATTTGTACTTTTGTACCTGCTGGTTGTCCTTGAAATGGTTCCTCAAGGTTTCATTTACTTAGAAAATATTCTTAGTCAACATTTAAGAATCAGCTTAGGGGCCAGGACTGTAGCTCAGCAGCAGAGCAAGTGATTAGCAGGAGAGAGGCCCTATATTTAATGTCCAGCAAGGGGTGTGCGTGCGTACGTGCGTGCGTGCGTGCGTGTGCGTGTATGTGTTGGGGGAGGGGAACAGCCTAAATAATACCTTGTCTGGGAAGCCTTCAAACACCTGCCCCCTATGCTTTCAAGAAAAGTTAAATAAATTAAAAAAAAAAGAAAAGTTGAGAATTCTTCAAATCAGATTCCTGTGCATCTCTTACACATCAGGCTCTGAAGCAAGGAGTATGGATAGGTAGATGGTGATGTACACCTGTAATTCCAGCACTCTGGGAGGCTGAGGCAGAAAGATTACAAGTTTCAGCCCAGCCCCACCAACTTAGTGATTTTGTGAGACCATGTCTCGAAATAAAGACATAGAAAAGGACTGTGATGTAATCAGTATAAAGGCCCAAAACTGAAAAAAAGACTGAGGGAGCCCGGGATTTAGCTCAGTGGCACAGCATCTGCTTGGCAAACATGAGGTTCTTAGTTCGATTCCCATACCAAAAAAAAAAAAAAGGAAAGGAAATTGAGAGGTGAAGCTCTGACCCTGCTGCCCTCATGGAGCTCATAATACAGTACAGAAAATAGTTATATGAACAAATATTCACAATAATACTAAATGCAAGAGAAAGATGTCCACAATATTTAATGTGCCAATCATTGTTTATTAAATATTACCTATGATGTTAGATGTATATTTGAATTATAAAGAAGGGCATAAAACTCTAAGACTGCTATCCCTTAACTTCTGAAGAAACTGTCTCCAAGGAGTTCTTTTTACATAGTGTACTGTCTGTGAGACAGATAATACATGAAACCAACTCAACCACTTTGAATATAAGAATCTATCAGGGCTTAGTGCCTCAGCTAAGGACAACGAACAGGATGAACTTGAAGGAGATCAATAACCAAACACATGGCTTGGCCTAAAATTCTGCCTGTCTCAGCTATTCAAGAGGCTGAGGCAGGAAGAATGTAAGTTTGAGGTCACCCTGGACAACTCAGTGAGAGATCCTCTCAAAATATTTTTTAAAAAATTTTTGGTTTTTGCCCACCAGAGGTCCTCCACTTTAGAAGATAACAGATCAATCCAATTAGTATCCTCTCTTGGGAAAATGTAAACATTGAGTGGACAAAATAAAAAAAGACAGGTGTTCAGGTGTCTAATCCTAACCTAAATACTGCTAAGATTTTTTGTTTTGTTTTTTTGTACCGGGGATGGAACTCATGAACTCATACTTGCCAGGCAGGTGCTGAAGCCACTGAGCTAAATCTCTGGCTAAGTTATTTTTTTTTATTAGGTTTTGAAAGCAAGAAAGCCAAGAGACACTGGATGCTGAAATGATTTCTCATTAAAGTTACATTCATACCGCACCACCAAAAGCAATATGTGGAAATGTCTGTGCCTTAAAACCCACAAGTGCGTAACATGCCACTTTTAAAACACTTTTAAAATTAGGAAACAGGTTTAAAAGTTCAAGAGTGAAGAGTGAAGTCACTCACATGGTAGATGGCACAGCCAGAATTCAAAGAATTCAGGTCAACATAGATCTTCTTCAAAATCCTACCAGTTAAATGGGCAAATGGTTTCAAAATTTACACATGACAAGTTAGAGGGTAACAGAGGTCAATGAGAGAGGCTCAGGGGAAGAGTTTATGCAAATGAAAGGATAGAAATGTTTTGGAATTACACTTGGAAATGCAAAGTGGGATGGTATAAAAAATTTCACCTTGGTCAAATTAATCTGTAATATCAACCAACCAAGCTTAGCTGTCTTTCTTACTCCAATGTGATGGCCATATACTGGGCCTGTAATCCTAGTATTCAGGAGACTGAAACAGGATTGCTGGACTTGAGTTTGAGGACAGCCTGGGATACAGCGTGAATTCAGGGTGTTATGTAGCACCCTGGAGCTACATAACAAGGCCCTAATCTAAAAAAAAACAAAAAATAAATAAAATAAAATCAAAGGCCAGCCCAGACAACTCAGCAACTTAGACCGGTTCTCAAAATCAAAAATAAATTTGAAAAATTTTTTTAGTAGCAAGGAATGTAGATCAGTGTGAGTTCAATCCCCAGTTATTACCCTCCTTAAAAAAAAAAAATACATCAAACAAGACTTTAATCTCTAGTTTGACTTACAGTAAGTGCTTAATATCTGTTGAATAAATAATAGGTTACCAAAGATGCGAAAGAAACATTCTCCTGAGAGGGTCTTGGGGCGGGGGGGTTACCATGAAACTGACCCTTATGAGTCACTTACAAGTTCAGTTGATCCTCATTATCTGTGGACCTCTTACTTGCAAATTTACTGGTTTTCAAAATACATGTCAAGATTTTGAGGTCACTCATGGATATGTATTATAGTGGCAAAAAAAATTTACTTCCCCTTGCATATGTTCCAAACTAAAATGGAATAAGGCAGTGCTGCGCCTTCTTGGTTCCTCTCAACAATGATCAGAGGACAGAGACAGTAGGGGGCAGTGAAGTGTAAAGCTAGAAGCTCTCTAGCTCTGAGGCCAAAAGAATAGAGTTTGAATGTAAACTCTGAAACATATGGTGGCCTCAGACAAATCACTTACACTTCTGAACCTCATTTCTTTTGCAAATAAAGAAAAAGGCATCTATCAGAATGAGATGCTTTTAAGATTTAAGATTATAATCCACGTGTGACAGGTAAATTCAGGAATTGACACTTCAGTGAGTTGACAGCAATAGGAGATGAGGCCAGAACACCTTGCTATACACCCAAACTACAGAACCTCTCTCTGCAAACATTTAATTCTTGGTTGATAGGTCAGTCCTCCACAAACCAGTGAGATTCTCAAGGTCAAAGTCCCAAAAGAAATCATAGCTATAGTCCTCTAAACTGCAAACAAGTAATTACTAACTGCAAATATGCCTGAAAAGGTTATACATACAAACAAACAACTGACCTTCAAGTACAGCCCTATATTAATTTACCAGCCACTTAGATATCTGGGAAACACTAATCTGAAATGTGTTCAGGATTTTCTTTGATAACTGCTATACCTCGGTCACAAATTCTTATTATTATTCTAGATATACACTTTTAAATAAGTTTTTGAAGCTCTTGCTCTTTTTTAGTACAATTTATTAACAAGACTCAAACATATGGTCCATTAGACAATGTTGTCAATTCAGAGTAAAAGACTCCTTTTAATTCACTCTCTACTAGACTTATTTGTATACGCACAAAATAAAATCTAAACATATGGAAGCATACTGATACATATGTTAGGTAAATAAGAAAAACAATACTTTTTTTTCACAAAAGCTTACAAAATCCTAGCTGAAACACAGTGAACATGTTAAACTCACAGTTTGTATTTCTCCACTGAGAAACTAGAAAAAAAATTCCAGTTTATGTAAACTCACAAAATCTAAGTACTATGAAAACATACAAGGTCTTGTATGTGTGTGTATTCTTTCTCTCTGTTCCTCTTTCTCATACATACCAGAACCTAAGAGTTTTATCAATCTTTCCAAAGTATTTCAATTTTTTACAGTTTACAAAATAAAACTCACTATTCAATATCTAAATTAATATCTATATTAATTCAATTCTAATTAATTCAATTAATTCTAATTAATTCAATATCTAAAATCTCAATCAAAACAGGCAGTAGTTAGTTTTTCCCATAAAATTTTTGGCATAATTTTACTTAGGAAGTTAGGGATATAGTATAGGCAGTAGTAAAAGCATTTGTGTACCATGCTTGAAGCCCTAGGTTCAATTCCCAGCCCTGCCCCAAAAAAAGTCTGTTTAGGTGTGAACTATTATTTTGAAACATATGGCTAGAATCAACACTACTGCAAACCAAATGGCTATACGATGAAGTTGAATACAACTTCTCTGGAAAAGAGAAATATCGTTTCTAAATATATTCAATGTTGTTGTATACAGCTGAAGTATGTCATATACTTTATGACAATCTAGAGTGGCCAAGCTTACTTACACTGGAACCTCCGATCCTTTAAGCTCTTTAAAGTATATGCCAATTTTATCCACTGGGGGAAAAAAAAAAAGATTTGAAATCTGTTGCTGCCAGCAAGCTCTTTCTACCTGCATTTTCAGCATTATCACTAAAAGAACTGTATCGGAACAAAGATTCTAGAAGGGTATAATGATGAAATGTCCTCTTGAGGTAAAAATAGTTGACAACGACAAAAGCGATTAAAGTTCCCAACCTTGCAAAGCTCCCTCTTCAGTGTAGTCTGCCTCTCTCAAATTCTTCTGTCTCTCTTAGGTTCACCTTCCGGCTGCCTGTTAGAAATAAGTGGAAAATGTTAGTTTCTAATAAGAAAGATGAGGATGAAATGTAGGGGACAGAATGAAATCAGAAGGGTGAAGGACTCACTCTCTGGAAACACGGCAGAAAAGTGACCAGAGTCTCCAAATTAGGTCTGAAGGAGGACTGGCGTAAAGAGGGAGGTGGAGAGGCTATAAAAAACGCTGAAAATGTATGGGCCGCCAATGGAGCGGGAATAAAATGCGCGACCCTTCCCCACTCCCTCCCCTGGGAGAGGGAGGCGGGGCGGGGAGGGTTGCGGTACAGCTCAATTTGTCTAGCAAGGTTGTACCAGAGTAGTGAAGAGGTTCAAACACCCAGGGACCTGGTCCTAGTGTTACAAGGGGCTTGAGAGGACTCCAGAACTTGGGGTGGGGGTGGGGGACAGAGCACCTGCACAGAGAAAAGGGGACTAAGACCCCCCTCCAATAACTCCCGAGGGGCAGGGGACCACAAGCAGACGAACCTCCTCGCCAATGGCCGCGACGTGGTACCTTAAAGACTTCCTCACCCCACAGAAGGTAAGGCAGGCGCACGATCCCCTTCACAATCTTGATGGTGATGGAAAGGGGGCGCTGGGTGCTGGCGTCCGAGTTCACCTAGGCTGACCAGAAGCTCCCCTTCTGGACTGTACTCTGCCACTCTCCGAGAGCTTAAGCCTTCGCCGCAGAAGTTGTCGACGTCCGGACAGTCTCGGCCTTTAGTACCAAAATGTGAGCCACAGCACGGGAGAAGCGCCACTAAGCCCAGCCTGGCTACCTCTCGCTGCACACAGGCTTCTCACCCCGCCCCCGAGCCCAAGCCATTGGTTACTGGGCACCGCCCCATTTGTCTATTGGGCCTAAGCAGGGCCACTCAGTCACCTTAGGCGCGCATGTGTGATTTTCATTGGTGTAAATGTGAAGCAGTGTCTGCCCACTGTCTCAGAAGTCTAGCTTGTGATTGGTCCTAACGTCTGTCCTTTCGCCGCTTTCATTCGTTCCCAAGGGTCCTAAGCTTACTTACAGGAGATTCCGGCTCCGATTGATTGAAAGGAAGCTACGCTGGCCCTGCTTGGGCTCTGGACTAAGGAAGCATTTGGCTGCCAGCGCTGGGAAGGAGCCCGAAGCTCAGCTCCTCGGGTTTGTTTACACAGGCTTTTGCTCCGGCTTTGTTCATTGGCTGAGGCTGCAGCCATTCCCACAAGGTTTAGCCAACTCATTCTAGTGTGCTGCTGGGAAGAGTTGAGGGGCTCGCCTTCTTGGGATTTCCCCTGCTGTCAGTTACCAAGGGAGGCGCCTGAGAGCTCAAGCTTGGCGCTCTTCTTGGCGGAAAATTCATTGGATTCCCTAGGAGACTAGAAAGAAACAGAAGGACACTTACACGTTTTAAGAAACAAACCTGATATTTTTGGTGCTTAAAAACGAATTTATTGCCGGGCGTGGTGGTGCACGCCTGTAATCCCAGCACTCGGGAGGGTGAGGCAGGAGAATGATTGCGAGTTCGAGACCAGCTTATGCTACAAAGTGAGCTCAAGGCCAACCTGAACTACATAGAGAGACCCTGTCTCAAAAAGACAAAAAAAGAAAAAAGAATTTATTGGCCAGGCGTGGTAGGACAGGCCGGTAATCCTCGGGAGGCTGAGGCAAGAAGATCGCAGCGATTTTGAGTCCAGCCTGAACTGCATAGCAAAACCCTGTCCCAAAAAGACAAGGTGGGGGGTGGGGTGGGGTGGAATTGGACTACTTATGGATACCTCATCTAAGTGGAATCATATAGCATTTGTCTTTTTGTGTTTGATTTATTTACTAGGCTTAAAGTCTTCCAAAATAATGTGTCAGATTTTTTTTTTAATCCCAGTAGTTAGGATCCAACCCAGGGAGCAGTGAGCTACATCCCCGTCCTTTGTATTTTTTTTATTTTGAAACGAAATCTCACTACATTCTCAGGCTGGCCTTGAACTTGTGGTGTTCCTGTTTCAGTCTCCAGAGTGGCTGGGATTATAAACACACATCACCACGCCCAGTTTCATTCCTTTTTAAGGCTCAGTAATATGTCACTAAATGTATGTATCACATTTTGTTTATCCATTCATCCACTGACGGATTTTCGGGTTGTTTCTAACTTTTGCCTGTTGTAAATAATAGGAAAAATTATTTAGTAGGAATATTGGTGTACTAACATTACACCAGTGTTAATATATCTGTATATTGGTATGAGCATTGGTGTACAAATAGCTGTTCAAGTCCCTGTTTTCAATTATTTTGAGTATAAACCTAGAGTGGAATTGTTATATGAAATTTTCGTTTATTTTTTAGCAATTGCCATACTGTTTTCCACAGTGGCTGAACCATTTTTTTATTCCCTTGAATGGTGCGTATGTGTTCCCATTTCTTCTCATCCTTACCAGTGCTTGATACTGTCTTCCTTTTGTTTTTCTTTCTTTTTAATAGCCATCTTAATGAGTGGTACCTTTTAGGTGTGTTTTGAATTTCCCTGATGATTACTTACGTCAAGGATCATATTTGCCTTTTGTATATGTTTTAGAAAAAATGTCTTTTCAAATCTTTTGCCTATTTTTAAATCATGTCTGGGATTTTTTTGTTAGTCATAGGAGTTCTTTATATATTAATTCTTTATCAGAGACAATTTGCAAGTATTTTATTCTATGAGCTCCCTTTCCTATCTCTTGACAGTGCCTTTTAATGCTCTAGGAGTATTTCTGATTGTGCAAGGACATCATGTGGCCCTGAAGAATCTGTTTTTCCAAGCTATGAGATCACCCAAGCCCCTCTCTCACCATACACCTGAAGGCCAATTTAGGCAAAGAAGCAGTAAACAGTAAGGGGAAGTTTTCACAGAGACGAGTCATGTGTTTTGTTTTCTGAAAAAGTTGAACATTATAGGACCCAGACAAAGCTTTAAAGCCAATGTCGGTATGTAGTTTTTGTTGTTGTTCCCCTGACTACTCAAAGTTTCCTTGGATAAAATCACATCAACTGGAGAGAAAAAAAGAAATCAATGAATGCACAGTCTTAGAGTACCCAAGAGGTCCTTCTGGACATTTTAAGGACCTCCAGGGAATAATGTAAAGAATATTTTGCTCAGCAGGGGATTCTGTAAAAGGAACTCTTTGAGTCTTCTCTCAAGATAGTCGCCCTATCCACTCATGTTAGAAACAGGAGGACTTCTGCAACCCAGGGTAACCAACACAGGCAAATTTCCAGTTTGCACTTGTTTGTAGAAGTGTATTTACTCACTCACTCATCCATAACCCATCAGCCCAGGTAGCTCAGTTTACAGGCCTAGGATCTTTCTAGAAGGACACTGACTGGCACAAAAACAAAAGACCTAAAGATGCTAGAGGGTGGTTAGTGGGGAGGCCTGGTATAAGTTTATAAAAACAGATCGGGGATAACAAGATTTGAACTTGTCAAAGGAGGGAGCGCTGAGGATTTTCTTGGTTTGCCAGTGTGTAAAGGAACAGGGAGAGCAGAAACTGAAAGCTGTCCATGGTCAAATATAAGAAAAAGAGCTAGGCTCTTCACTACAAACTTCAATTCAAGCCAAAGTATTTTCATAACAATAGAGATAGGAAGATGTGGCAAACCAGTGTATGCTGGTCTCAGGTCCCTACTCAGATGCCACCCATGGGGAACCGGCCCACTCCAGTGTTTCCCCAACCCACTTGTAGGGCCCTAATCCTGCAAGTTTATCCCTCTGACCCAGGGTGAATGAGGATGAAAGACGACACAGAGTTAGTTTATCATACAGACAGCCAGGGAGCTCTTGCCTCCAAAGGAACTCTAAACATCTGGCTCATCCTGCTTTTATTCACTCAAACACAGGTACAAGATTCATCTGCTTTCCATCATCCGTAAGTATATGTCCAATAAACAACCTGATCTCAGCTGTATAGACTTTTCCTTAGAACCAGCAACAGGCCATCGTCATCCCTACATGTTGCTTTTCTCCTTTGTGCTCACAGATGCGACCACATCTGTCTCAGTTCTCCACATCACCTACAAGAAAGATCCTACAAGTTTCCAGAAAATAATAGATTACGCAAAAAACAAATTAGGGGGGGCTGAGGATTTAGCTCAGTGGCATAAGTACCTGCCTTGCAAGCAGGCGGTCTTGAGTTTGATCCCCGGTACCGATAAAAATGAAAAAGACAAAAAAAAAACCAAAGTAGGAATCAGAAGAAAATCAGACTTTCCAAAACCAAACCAGGAAATACTTTCAAAATGTTGATACTGAAGTAGTGTGAGTGGAATAAAAACACCTGCAGACAAGCAAGTTCTCAAAAAATGTACTTCTCAGGGATCCTTTATCAGGAGCTACTGGAAGATGTGCACCATTATATTTGTATATGATTAAAATTTTTCTCTGTATTCTGATGTTTTGCATCTGGGAAAATCTAGATGGTGAAAAACTGCCACTCCTGGGGATAGCCAATTTGTAGAGACAGCACAAGGGTCTACTGGGAGCATGCCTAGGTCTGCAAACCAGGGCCCTGCTTTCTCTATATGTCTCTTACAGAGGTCCACCTGGATGGTCTCCTTGAGTACAGAGCAATTAACCTGGCTCTGTTTCCACGTACTGATATGTATAGAGCTGTCTAAACTATTTCCTTTTCCCTTTGATTGGCTCTAAACAATGTAAATGGGGCTGGATGAAGTACTGATGCATAATCTTTGAAGCCAGATTACAGTTGCTATTTGCCTGTCTCAGTATCTCCCTAAATGGTTGAGCCCAGTGGGATGTAGAGTCCATGTTCCTGGACTGTCATCTGGGTTTGAGCCTTGAGGTGGAGGCTATGACTCCCACGGCAGAAAAGGTTACACATCAGAGCTGAGGCACCGCCACCTAAACATTAAATGCTACCTGGGTTGTGCAATGCAGATTGGTCTTTCTGCATATCCTTTTCTCTTTATATTGCAGAGAAGCTTTCTGGCCTCCTAGCTAGCCCAGCTCACAGTACTTACATAATTCTCATCGCTCTCACAGTCACTCATCCTCCAGCCACTCCTTTCTTCATGAATTAGTAATATCTGGGTGATACCCTGTGTTGAGGCCTTTTTTCCATGAACCTTCATCTGGGCTGGACTCAGGAGCTCTTGGCTGCTCAAAACTATAAAGCGTCTTTATCTTTGCCATGGGTTGCACTGGAGGTGGTAGATTGAAATTAACCTGGCCTTATTCTTCTGCCTGGATCATCCCAGGATCAGGTACTAGGCAACAAGACACCATCTCTATAGGCGAAAACCTAGCAAAATTATCCTGTTCCTGTCTTCTGCTGTCTGATTAAAACCTGGTGCTTCCCCTGCGATTCTGTGCAGTAACCAGTGACCCCTTCACTAAGATCTGTGAGCGTAATCACCTTCGTTTCTTTTGTCACCCTTGGGTCTCTTCTTGTGGTGGCACCTGACTGACCATCTCACAAAAGCTCAAAGCAGCCATTAAAATCAGAAAGTTAATCAGGAAAGAGAAACGTATATAAACAAGAGCAGGAGACTAAGAAAAGAGAATGAGGGGCTGGGGATTTAGCTCAGCGGCATAAGCGCCTGCCTTGCAAGCAGGCAGTCGTGAGTTCGAGCCCTGGTACCAATAAAAACGAGAAAGACAAAAAAAAAAAAAAAAAAAAAAAAGAAAAGAAAAAGAAAAGAGAATGAAGGAAATTCCCAAATTGACAATAAAGAAGCAGGGCTAGAAAACAAACTGCCAGGAGTGAAGAAGAAAATTTGGGTGCTCCAAGAGATAATGTTGTCCAAAAAACATGGAACTGATATTTTACCTATATATA